GAGCCTCTTTGAGCGGTACCTCACGCTCTGGGTCTTCCTCGCCATGGTCATCGGTGTCCTCATCGGCTACTACGTGCCGTCGATCCCCGAAGGTCTCGACAAGGCCACGATCAGCGATGTCTCGGTCCCGATCGCCGTCCTCCTCTGGGGCATCATCCTCCCAATGATGATCAAGATTGAGTTTGCCAGCATCGTCGACTGTCTCAAGCAGCCCAAGGCGATCCTCCTCACGTGCATTGTCAACTACGCCATCCAGCCGTTCACGATGTATGGCATCGCGATCCTCTTCTTCCGGACGTTCTTTGGCGGCTACCTCGGCGACAAGGCGGACGGCTACGTCGTGGGCTCGATCCTCCTCGGCGGTGCACCGTGTACCGCCATGGTGTTTGTGTGGTCGATTTTGATGAAGGGCAATGCAGCGTACACGCTGACGCAAGTCGCAGTCAACGACCTCCTCCTCATGGTGTTGTACGTTCCAACGACCAAGCTGCTCGCGGATGGCACGTCCCTCGAGATGCCGTGGTCGACGCTCTTCGTGTCTGTCGGTCTCTTCGTCGTCATTCCGCTCGTCGTCGGCTACGGCATCCGCAAAGCGTTCGGGCACTCGGATGCTGGCCTCGACTGGCTCAACTCGAAGCTCCTCCCTGTGTTGGACTCGCTTTCGATGGTGTTCTTGGTGCTCATGATCGTGCTCATCTTCATTTCGCAAGCCGCCACCATCACGGACAACGTCGTCGACATCCTCATTATTGCGATGCCGTTGATCCTCCAGACAATCCTTATCTGGGGCATCACATACACCGGTGCGCTCTACCTCGGCCTTTCGTACGACATTGCGGGCCCCGCGACCTTGATCGCGTGCTCGAACTTTTTTGAAATGGCTGTCGCCGTCGCCGTGTCGCTCTACGGGTCGGGGTCCCCCGCTGCGCTGGCGACTGTGGTCGGCGTCCTTATCGAAGTCCCCCTCATGCTCATCCTCGTCGCAATCAACAACAAGACGCAACACAAGTTCGCCTCGGCGTCCCCGCCGCTCCTCCCCGAACCCTAGTCGTTGGCCCAGAGTGATTATAAAGTAATATGTCCTACACGTGACCGAAGTCTTATGTATCGGCATCGAAAAGTCCTTGGGTCATAGAAGGCAGCCCACGGCGTGTAGCTAGCGCATTTGAATGTCCACTCATTTCAACAAGACATGCTGCCCACCGTCGACACCACATCTAACAGTAGGCCAGCCAATTCCCGCGCAAGCTCTAAGAAGCGCTTGCAATGGATCGTCTTTGCGTCAACTTCTCGGGCCTGCCGGGTTCCGACGACAACGCAAGCTAGGGCTGTCGGTGTCCCACCCGGCAATACTGTCTGACCGACAAAGGCCCATGGCCGCGGCGATCTTGTGAGGTACGACTACCTGTCGCTGACTCTTTCATGCGCTAAAGCTGGAACGCGATGCTGTTGAGCGTCGCGCCGGCCATGGCGTAATCTGGGTGGGCACGAGAGATCAGTTTTGTGCGTCCTGACTGAGCCCTTACATTGCACTTGGTCATGCGAGAACAGCTGTACGATACACGCGATTGGCGCCTCTGGCAAAAAACCTTTTTACACACAACGTTTTGATCCCCTTTCCTTCCCAATTTTCGTCGTTTGAGCCTTCTGGAGAAATGGTTCACGGCACGACTTCCTATCGCGTCAGGATTACACGACTTCCGCATGGGCAATGTGGGCGCTGATCGCCTGAAAAGCCTTTTTGATGTGCCTCGCATTGGACAAAAGGTGGTTGGCGCCCTTGATCTCCAGCCACTGCTTGGGCTCACGGGCTGTTGCAAAGAGAGCGGCGCCGTGCTCCAGCGGAACGTTCTTGTCGCTGGTGCCGTGGACGACGAGAAGCGGTACCGCACCGCGTATGACGTGCCCAGCAATGTCCAGCTGCTCCATGTCATCAACGTAGCTTCGCGCGAGGGGTCGCCAGACTTTGCCAGTCGCATCAAACGACGTAGTATCCGCGCGGCAGTCGTTCGCCAACGGCCATTGCGCCGGCCAGTAGAACGCCGTCTCGCATTGCCCGTCGACGCGCATGGCCGTCAATTGGTCATGCGAAAAGTCAAGCTTCGAGCCTGCACAGGCGTCGACGATACCTGCCACCACCGAGATGGACCGTAGCTGCGGATGATCCGAGTCGCGGAGACAAGCCGCGAGAATGGCACCGGTCGAGAGCCCAACGACATGCACGTGGGCCTTTTGAAGCTCGGTCGCACAGTAGGCCACAATCCCGCGCGCGTCTTCAAGCTCGCGACTGAGTGTCTTGCTACGATAGCTTGCATCGCCGTCGGAGCCCGGAAGCCCTGAGAAGTTGACGCAAAGAAGATCCATCGCGAGCGCTTCCTCGAGCTTGCGCGGGAAGCGGCTGGCGTACGCGGGTGGAGCGTCCTCGTTCGGGTGTACCGATAGGTCCGGGAAGCCGTGGAAGTAGACGACGATGCTCTTCGTTGACTCCTCGACCGTCGAGAGCAGACCCAGCAGCGTGCGCGCTTGCCCGATCGGGACGCGGACGTGTGCCAATGTGCGCATCGAAAATGAGAGGTATTAGACAATGCAATATCATTTATAAAGGTTCTTGTTGTTGCCCTTTCCGATACGAAAGCTCGCTTGGTGCAGTCGAGCAGTTCGGCCCTGTTCGATCGCGGCCGCAATGCCTTGTGATACCGCGCAGCTCTACCGGTCAATACATTGCCTCGTAATGTGCCGGGCGCGAAGTGCGCCGCATGGCCTTTGGCGCCAACTGATACCGCCAGCCACCGTTTTCGTCAGTTTGAAATTTGCCCGACCATGGTCACCACGCACAACATGCGAGCCCACTGGGACTTTGGCAACCTCGACGCAACTGAAGCCGTCTTCAAGCAGCTCATAGAAGTGTCCGCGTCGCCCATCGAAACCATGCTGTTCGAGACCCAACTTGCCCGTGTGCACGGTCTCCGCGGCCACTTTGAAGCTGCCCACGCTCTCCTCGATGCGATCGAAACCGAGCTCGGGAAGATCATTGGCGCAACGAACGACGTGGCCGAGCTTCAGACGCGCTACTTCTTGGAGCGTGGCCGTGCTCTGCGCTCTGCCAAGCAGCCGGACGCAGCCTGTCCGCTCTTCAAGCAAGCAGTTGACGTCGCAGTGGCTTCCCACATGGACGAGCTCGCGATCGATGCGATTCACATGATGGCGCTCGTCGTGTCACCGAGCGAGGGGATTGCGTGGACAGAGCGTGGCATCGCCTTGGCCCAGCGCTCGGATGACGCCAATGCGCAGAACTGGGACGCACCCCTCGCCAACAACCTCGGGTGGGCCTATTTTGATGCGCGTGAGTACGCAAAGGCCCTCGCGACCTTTGAGACGGCGCTTGTCGCGCGCGAGCGCATCGGGGCACCCGAGCAAATTCTTATTGCCAAGTGGGCTATTGCACGCGTGTATCGGGCGCTGGAGCGCTACGACGACGCCATTGGGCTCTTGATGTCCCTCTCGCCTCAAGATGGATACACGCACGAAGAGCTCGGCGAAAACCTCCTCGCGCAGCACAAGCCCGAGATTGCCAAGACGCATTTCGCCCAGGCATACGAGGCGCTGCAACACGACCCGTCTGTTGACGCCCCGCGTGTCGCCCACCTCCTCGCCCACTCCAAGGAGTTGATCGCCACGCAAGACACCTTGGTGGAAGAGTTCCGCGCCGTGTAATGTATGTAAAGTCAACACCTACATGACGGTTGGCGTTCTGCCGCCCGCTCAGTATTAGACTTAACACCTCCGCACTTCCAGGGCTTGGGCTGTTCCATTATCCTACCGAATCGTGGATGTAGACTTTTCAGAAATTTGAAGCAAACCCCGCTGGGCAGAAATTGAATTGTGATCGGATTTTTTCGGGTGGCTGACCCGATAAAACTTCTCGGCATCTGATTGGCTAAAAACATCCTATGACGTGGCAAGCTGAAAACAGTGGGGCCCATGCAAAGAACATAACATGCGCGAGCGCAAGGACAAAACAAAGCGCTGGCTTAAACGAATTAGCGTAGCAGAGCTTCGGGCATTGGCTTTGATTCCCTGTACGCATGACATATCAATACATTGCCGCGGCAATCGAATACCATCCGTTTTACCTTCCTGGCGTATCTTGCTCTTGAAAAA